GGTGAAATTCCTTGAATGCCTCTTAATCAAATGCCATTTGGTTTGCTGAATTACAACATTTGTTTATTCGCAAAGGGAATAACACAAATGCTTGGTATTGAGGAGTATCATGTATCGTGGCTGGCAACAATGTTTTACTGTTTGGGCATAAGTGGCTATGTCTCCACAGAGGACCAGCATGGCAATATGAAGTTGGACCAGAGGTGTTAGGTGAAGGGTAGCTAGTGGAAGAGGAGACTGTTGAAGAGGAGTCTGTTGAAATGGAGTCTGTTAAAGAGAGTCAGTTGTAGGGGAGTCAGTTGAAGAGGAGTCTGTTGAAGAGGAGTCTATAAAAATGGTGTCTGTTGCAAAGATTGACATTATTTAAAGTGCATTACAGGATTCTTCAGTCTTCTTGACTGACTGGGCTGCTGAAACTTTGGATGGTGTCAACCTTCCAACAGTGGACAACACAGAAATAGGTCCACTTCTAGACCTACTATGCCAGTCCAAGCCAACAAATGGGTATAGAAGTTGGATTATTGTCCTTCCAGTGTATGGAAAGGACTCATGGTATACAACCCACTGGGAACTGTGCAACAAGGAATCCTGGGATATATAATCCTTTGAACATTGGTATCAAATTGGTTGTGGAAGACCAGTATAAGAGGACTAGAGGTCAACACATTTCTTGGTACCTTTCCTGGTACAGTACTTTTGTTACAATAATTTAGAAAACTACCTGGTATACAGTTGGTGCGCCCTTAGGTAATCAAAACTGAGTTAACCTTGTCAGTTAGGAGCTCATTCATCATTCCAAGAGTGAAGCAGGAAGATTGGGTGCCAACAAAATATATTTTCATCTACATCTTAGTTTTCATGGTATGTAGTTCTTTAGATAATTAAATATGGTTAAAATGTTTTAGTTTGAACAATTCCTTTCCAGATCCCTCCCCCCAAAACAAATGAATAAAGTACTTGCATGGTAATTGTACCTGTGTATTCAAATTTGTTTGCTAACAACATGTAGCCTGCTTCTATTAGAACTTTAGTCCCTTCCCCGCCCTTCATTAAATACTTTAGTAGTAGCTGTTATATTGAATTCCTCTACATCAACACCTAGCAGTTCCAGTGGAAGATGCGAGGTGGCTACATTCATTCATGACTAGCCGGAGTGAACAAATTCCTTTTGAAGATACCATATTTATGCTTAGGAGGAAACTGTTTCCCTTCATGCATAATCTACATCTATTACCAAATACTACTGACATGAAAAAATAATTACTGGGCAAGACCGGGTAATTCCAAGTTTTTTTAATATCCAAAGATGAGGTTGATTTCATCATTGGCTAACAACCATTCTTGCCCCTTTACCCACCCATGAAGCAAAGTCCTAGAAGACCACATGCATATAAGTCCCAGAGATAAAGCCAAATGCTTCACTCTCCTTATTGTTCTTTTCAATTTCAAATTTCTCATGTATAGACAAACCAGAAACAACCCATGATGTACCAAGATCAGTAATGGCCATTTATCAAAAAGTGGAGAATCTCAAACATCATGTTAGTGATCCTGCAAATTTCTCTGAGAACCTCAATCAACCAGAGAAGGATGTCAGTGGAGAGAAGATCCACCACCGTCAACATCATAATCATCTACTTAAATGTACAATAACCTACCTTTGTGAGGGTCTAATTCCAGGTCTGGATTTGCAGTTTCTCAGAGATACTCTTCACGACCCATCTACTGGCTTGACATATGAAGCTCTTACTGGCAAAAACAAGCAGTCAGTGCCAGACTGTGAGTGCCTAATTAATCCTGAAGTTATTTCATTTCTGGAATGAAAAGGTCATACAAGTGGTGCCTGTGTCATTAACAGAATTTACAACTGGCACAAAGCAGTTGATGTTAGGGGACTTTCTGAGGATCAACGATCTCTATATTGCAGAGAAATGAAGGAGTGGCTGTTACTGGATTGGATGCCCTGGTTCAAATTCAAGCCAGATTACATCAGTATTGACGTAAACAGGTAATTTCACTTTATTTTTAACGGTACTTTGTTAAAATATGAAGTGATGTTAAGGTGTAAAGAGTTAAACGGGAACAAAATTTTCTTTAGGGATAATTTAACTCATTCTCAATGCAGTGCAATGAAATGGTTATTAACATTTCTCACAAGGTATGAAATATAGTGCTTTATTTTGAGGGCGCTTGTGGGTCTCAGTAGACTTCTTAATTTACTGGAACGCAAAAATTAGGAGATCAATAGATTGAATTGGAAGAAATGAGAGTTTAACTGTCTATAATACTTTATGCTTTTAACACAGAATTTGTGGGGTTTTTTGTTGTATCATTATAGGCCCATCAAAGGGATATGTGGTCTTACTCAAGACTGAAATTGTGATTGGACTCATTAAAACTTAGAGAGCAAGGAGTTGTACTTGGTGGAGTATCAGCAGACAGGATTACCCTGAGAGCATCCACAAGCCTTGGTCACTGATGATGTTGAAGGGTTAAATGCCTTAACACACAAAATGCTGGGTGACATATTTGACAGTTTCTTGATGCCCAACTCAAAATTTTCAGTGAATTCGAAAAAGGAATTGATCCAGATTAAGTTTTTTATCTATCAGACTAGAGCAAAAGGGCATTACAGAGAATTCTAACTTCCATCTTTTGATCAATTAACAGGGGATGGTATTTCTGAAAGACTTGACAACATCAGTCTCTCATGACGGGGAGACCCAGGTGTCTTTGTAGCCAATAGAGCTTTGTTACCACAAAGAAGGCAGTTCACTGTTAGAGCCCAGTTCCATAGAACCCCTGTAGAGTTACCTCTGCTCAGACCACAAGAAGGAGAATGACAACTCCTTATACACAGGGATTCACCTAAGCAAGATGACTTTGCTTTATGTGGATTTCTAACCTTAGAAGTTTTGTAGTCTGATAAATTGAACCATACAAGAGAACGCTATTTAGTTATACATTACTTCATTAGTTTGAAACAGACTTTGTAACACCCACTAGATTCATCAATATTTCTATTAACTTCAACTTTGATAGAAATATCTTGTTTGTAGGGTTATGTAGCCAAAGCCATAAAAATTAAGGGCAACGAGAAGGCCCAAAGGTTAATGCATGTTTGGTGCTGTAATATATGGTTTGAATTGCACAAATGTTTCTGAACAGACAATCCCAAACCAGACATAGCCATGCCCATGATGGCAAATGAAATTTTTCATAGCACAGACAGTTACCTCCACTCATTAAAACTACTTGCATAAATTAAATAGAACTCCTTAATTTGCCATTTTGCAAGATTCCCGCTTTCTGAACATTTAATTCCTGTCACATCACTTTACTCTGCAGCTGGCTTTAATCACTGTCTTCTCCCAGAGACCAGTTATGGAAATTTCAATTGTCAAATAAAAACTAATCATAAGAAATGTGGTACAAAACCTGATTTGCTTCATTGTCGCTTCAACTTTTGTTCCACTTTATTTATAGTGAATATAGTTTGTATGCATTGGAATGTTATGAGCTACAATGTTTCAACATCTTTCTGAAAACTAGTGTTAAATTGTTCCTCAAATGGAAAGAGACCTAGAGGAAACACTCTTCATAATTATTACAAAAGTGTTGTTTCACATTAGCTTTTCAAACAGAGGAATCACTAGTGCCTCACTCTTCTTTAGCCTACAAAGCAAGGAGAAGGAGGGAGGGATGAGTGAAATACCTCTGCAATTGTTTCTGTCATGGACTACCATGCAGGTAAATCCTGCTTTCCTGTTGCCTTTATTAAGCTTACAAAGCAAGTACGCTTCCTGTCTTTGAATTTAAGGTGTCTCCTCTTATGATGGATTCAAATTGTGCTTTCATTGGTTGTAACATGAAATATGGTTATATTCTTCACTTTTAGTTTAAAATCTGGGTGAAGCCAGCAGGAGAGCAGTCTTTTCTCTATGGGAATCTCATTTTGAAGTGTGGCCTTCAAGGAGGATAACAGAAAACACACTGCAGTACCAAGGAGTTATTGTATATACTCTATGAATGACCTACCATTAGTGAGTAAAGAAAATTGTCATCTCGCAGGGAGAGTTTGTATACATTTATCAAAATGGGATGGAATTTCTCCAAACATGTGAAAATATAGCACAGGTTAACCCTTTAATCCCCAAGAGTGACAAGGTTCTAATTTCTCTTTACAATCTATCCCTTGAATCAAATGTTTAAGTCATGAGAATAACAGAAA